ACACTTCCTAACATCGCTGCTACGGTCATCACTGGTACTCCGCTGTATTTCTGGGTTGCATCCTTGTTGTGTTTACTTACTGGCTTCCAGAGGATGACTCTGATGTGAACGGTGTATAGACATTTGCACTGGGGTGCTCAGAGTTCCTGTTACGAAAGTGATGTATTAGTTCCTTGTTGATTTTTAATAGCACATAAAATAAAGAGCAGACAATTTTCCCTCTCGCTTATTTGAATTTCTGAGCCACGCTGTGGTGGAGGAAGAGCTGAGGGGGATGTGTCACGATGTGTCTTAATGAGCCTCAGGAAGGCAGAAGGAGCAATCATGCTAAACCTTCTGGAAATGCCCAGGCATCAAGGAAGCTACAGTTAATGGCTGAGCAACGCAGTCCATATTCCTCTCATTTTATTTTAGTTTTTGTCCAGAACCATTTTTTACATTTTGCTAAGAGTGAAGGAACAGCTTCATTATACTGAAACTTATTCATTTGCCGTCTTAACCTATATAAATTTGGCTCCACAAAACCAAGTAAAATTAGGTCTCTGTTTTCTTTATTATATATTTTTTGGTCCCTTTTCAGTTCTATTCCTCCCCTGTACTGTGGGGAGACTTGCTCTCCAGTTGCATGAAGCAGCTTGTATGAATCAAGGTTAGTTTCCTACTGAAAAGGGAAAAAATTACTGATACCAATTTAGGTTTCTTTGAACTCATCATTAACCTCGTTTCTGGAATTTGGACCTTTGAAAAGTGGAGCAGCTTTATTTGAAAGTGATGCCAGGGGCCCATGGTGAACTGAACAATGCACAGCTGGATGAAGAGGGCTCAGAGAGATTTCAGGCTGGAGGATTGCCTGTTGTACACGAAAAAGCACCATTGGGTTGCTTTTATGTTTACAGTGAGATGAATTGTCTGTGTGAAAACTTATGTGGAACCCAAACGTGAACGAAGAGACAGTAATAATGGCTGATGTATGAATTCTTGTTGGTTTCTTCTTGAAGTTGGTTTTCTTTCTAGGTTATCTCTGGGAAACCTCAGAACTCAGGTTTGAAAATCACTGATAAGCAAAATTCAGGAAAATGCATGTTCAATTTAATTCTTATATAGTAGGCAAAATATACTAGGTGAAATACCTAAAACATATTTAAAGCTTTCTATTTTTGATGGCTACCCTTGAAGAAGGGTTGGCAACAGCGAGGCAGCAAGTGTTCTAGGCTTTCTGGGTTAACCTGTGAAATTGAGAACATGATGATAACAAGAGGGAAAATACATGCTCATAAAATTCTCTGACAAAATCCAAAATATAATAATAATAATCATGGAGTACAAAGTTTTTAAGGGGTATCTTGGTTAATGATAAGAATTCAATTATTTAAAATAACGTTTTCCCTAATTGGGGATCCAGTTAGCATTCCCTACTGCTAAATCAAGTGCAGATGTTCATCTTTGAAACAATTCTTATTTTTGGTGCTGAGCATGAACCCAGGGCTTTGTGCATTCCCTCTGCCACTGAGCTACACTGCTGCCCATGTGAAGACAGTTTCTTAACGGAGAGATGTGTTACCAAAAACACATGGTGGGTGGGACTGAATCATGGGCTGGACAAAAGACATAATTACTACTAACTGAAGGAAGTTTAACCTAAATCTGGGTGATAAAGTTTGACCCAAAGAAGCCTCCACACATGGTGGAGTTCACCATAGCTTGATGTATAAACCAACCTAACATGAACATATGATACCTTTGTAGCCAAGCAACTGAGTCTCAGCCAATCATAGCACTCATGCTCTAGCCAATCAAGCTGCCAACTTTTCAGACCTCTCCATATAAGGAAATGCACCATCAGTTGCCTGTATAAAGCAAATGCTGAAAACAAGCAGCCAGGTTGTTTCTGTACCTCACATCCTCTTCTGTCTGTAAATAAAACTTCAGTACCTGGTGGGGTGGGGCATTCCAACCATCTTTGATCTGGAATGCTGCCCTGTTCTAGAAAGTTTTTTTTTTCTTCTTCAAGTAAACCTTGTTAAATTTAATTGGTCTCAGTTTTCCTTTTTAATAAAGCAAGTTTCAAGATTTTAATTGGCTTTTTATTCACAATTCCAGAATCAGGCAGCCTTCAGAATCAGAATAAGTTCAAAGAACTCTGCAGCTGCCACATAGCCAGGCAATATTTATGGTTCAAGAATGAAGTGAGGTATAGAGAGAGACAGAAGTGAGGTACAGAGCTTAATTGGTTTGTCATTTTTGAATCTCTTGGCTGCCTACAATTAACTAAAGCTCTGCTGCTGTAATAGTCAGAAACTCAGCCACTTGTTATATGACTATGCTCCTAAATTAATTAGTTTCATTTTGAGTGAATGACTCTGTAATTGGTTTGGGGTGTTAGGCCTATTACAGGAGCCTAGTCCAAATCAATGGTGTCTTGCACAGTTTTATTTGAAAGGTTGTAGTTTGTGAACCATTTGCTCCAGAATGAACTTCAGCTTGGACACAACGATTAGGAGCTTTTAATTTGTCTTTTATGTATTTTTGGTTATAGTAACAGCAATGAAACACCTTCTCATTGCTATTGGCATTTTTTTCCCTTTGAACATGACCTTGTAATTTCCAATGTGGCTAAAGTTTCAGTAAAAGACAAACTGAAAAATTCTCCACAGAAGACTTTTTGAAAAGGAATATGTCAAAATGTGTTAAATGTAAAGAATACATGTAAACTTTGATCTACTGATTTTATTTCCAGGAATTTAACCCACTGAGGGTTATATTAAAGTATGTGCAAGGAAATTTATTTATTATGTATCATAGTGAAAATTGGGGCATATCGAATGCTGGGCAACAGGGGGATTGTAAAATATTGTAGAGACATAAAGGAGATTATTGTGTAACCATTGTGAATTGTATTGTGGAGCCTCATTGATATGGAAAAATGGTCACAATATAATGAATTATTGATTGTTTAAGACAGCAAGCCACAGACATTATACATAGTATGATTCTATTATTGTGTATAAAAAATGCAAGTTTAAATATTGAAAACAAAATGAAGGACCACTCACTAAAACATTAACAGGGCTTATTTGTGAAATGGGAACAGAGGTGATTATTTTTAGTATTTGTGGGTGCTGAATAACTGCAGGCCCTGGGAAATACTTTGCATATATGATCTCCTGCAATCCTGAAGTCAGTGATGTGTTGTGGGTATGTTTATCTCCCACAGTCTCGGGGCCCTGAGGCTTTCGTATGTGCACACTTAGAAATGGGCAAAGTGGGCTTCAGACCAAGGGGCGTCTGACCCAGAATTTGTACAGCTATCTTGCATGGCATATGGATTCTCTTTATTCATGCTAATTTATTTATTCTTGCTCTAAAGTATTACTGGATTTTTGAAGAACACTGAGTATAAGTACATGGAAAATGCTGAATTGCCATGCAGTGGATTCAACCATTTCTTACTTTTATGGCTGTTTCTGGGAACTTGCAACTTCCTGTCCTTCCTGTTAGCCTGACGGGTTATTCACAAAGCCTCAGGAGGGCAGAAAGCATTCCTCTAGGCTACTGCAAAGGGTGACTGTTCCCTGTGCCTTTACACCTGTAGCCTAGTCCTCTAAAATTGTGTTCTTTAAAACAAAAATAAAATAAAATTGTGTTTTCCAAGATGAGTAATAGTCATAGATACTTTTAAGGCAAATTCTCTCTCTCCAAGAGATGGTCTGACCCCAAGAGCTTTTTTGAATCAGTGCAGGTTATTAGTTGGTTCTCAATACACTATCTATCTTGCCCTTCCTTATTGGTTTCAGGGTCGTCACCATCTTCTCTCAGGAATAAATAAGAAGTCCCAGCACTCTGGGAGGCTAAGGCAGGAGAATTTTAAGTCTGAGCTCAGCCTGGGAAACTTAGTGACTGTCTCCAAATATAAAATTGAAAAAGGGCTGGGGATGTGGTTCAGTGGGAAGCTGGGGGCTCAATTTCTAGTGCTGAAAAAGAAAAAAAGTGACTAGGAATAGCACTAGTCCAGGGAGAGAATGCAAATTTATTAAAATTACAACCTTAAATCTTCAGTGCTTACGTACCATTTCTATTGCAAATGAATTACCACCTGGATTTAAACTTCATGATACATTCCTGCATTCTAGGCTACAGATGCTCTGCAAATGATGGCTATTAAACCTTGACATTTCCATTCCCCAAACAAGGTGAACTGTTCTTGCTGCTAAATTGCTCTTTAGGATAATGAGCCCAGCCACACAGGTCTCTGATCATCTCGCCACTTGGGTTTGTGCGATTACCGGGTTGCAGTGCGTGGTCAACACAATCATTATTTTTCAGACTGATTTTGTCACATCCTTTGCTCCCAGCTGCTTGCAAACAGAATGGGGGTAAATTCATCTTTCTTAGGAGCTGTGCAAATCATTATTTTATTTATTGAATGCTGTTGAAATGGTCCGCTGGGAGAGGATGCCAGATCACAGCTAGACAGGTAGGGTTAAGGAAGGCTATTACAGGAAACGTGAAAAATCTTGAAATCCAGGTGAATTAAAAGTGATCACGAAGATAAATCTAGTTATTGAATTGGGAGTTTAATGGTCATCACTGGCTGAATCATTCTGGAGTAGGCAAAAATCATGTCGCACAGTGAAGGGTAATAATGTACATACTAACTGGGGATGGGTTGGGGGAAAGAAGGGATGGTATATAATGGTAGCTTTGACCTCTTTGTGGTTCCCACCCACTTATCCAACCATTTAATAGTATTTGTTAAACTCTACAGTTGTGACGATACAGACATAAGCACAGCCAACCCCACTAATCTCATGGGTCCTAGAATTTTCTGGGTGGTTGCTATTGTGGTTTATATCCCGATGCCCCCCTAATGCCTCCGTCAAACCTAGGGGAGGCCTTTGGAAGGTGATTGGACAATGGGACCAGTTATAGCCAATGCGCTGTTAGGGGGTGGGGTCTGGTTGGAAGAGGAGGTCACTCGAGATGTGACCCGGAAGGGTTTCTCTTCCTCCTGGGCTCCTCCCTTTAGTCTCTGCTTCCCGGGCACCAGGCTGTGGGCGGCTTTTCCTCTTTTCCTCCATGGAGCTGGACTCTTCTCACCATGAAGTTGCGCCCTGGAGCCAGCCGACTGTGAACTGAAACCTCCCTAAAATGTAATCAAACTAAACCTCTCTTTCTTTCAGCTGTGGGTTGGGGGTTTTGGGCCCATCAGCGTGAACGGTGACTGAGACAGTTGCTGAATGTTTGGTTGTGTCTGGTGACCCAGCAAGAGCATGCACGGCTCTCCTCCCCGCACCCACACAGACACAGGGCCCTGTGACCTTGGGAATGAGTGGAGAGGGCGGGGAGGGAAAAGAGTTGGCTTTCCCGGCCGTACAGAATGTAGGCTGATTGCTATATTGAAAATCCTCTGCGGTCCCTGATTTAGACCAAAGGGGGACTTTACTGGACTGCTGTCTTTCTGTAATATTTTTAAACTTCAGTTGTGATTTTTAAGAGGCTGGGCCAGATGCGACCAGTGCGGAGAAGCCTTACCCTTTCTGCTCTTCTGCCTGCGGTCATAGAAGGACGCTCACTGCTCTAGTACGTGTTAAACAGTGAACCTTCCCAGTTCCACAGATTTATTCAATGTAAAAACAGCATTCAGCAAAAGAATAATTTTCAACGATAACCCTTAAAACAACGAACGATTTTCTGCCTTTCCCACCAGAGTGGACATTTTCTTTGTCAACTCTTCAAAATCCTGCTCTGAGATTCGAAGTTTCCCAGCTGCTTGTTGATCTCCACCCAGCCTCAAGTCTCTATCCAGGCTCCATCCAGGCTGTGTGGCTTCCGCACTTCCTGCCAGTGAACCTCTGTGTAAGGAGCAGTCAGGCTGTGGTTTTGGAGAGTGTTCTTTCAGGAAAGACAAAGCGTGATTTCTTGCTCTTGAAATCTCTTCCTGGGTCCTAGGGTGGAGCTGACGAGAGTGTTTAGCAGAAGAAAAGCAGTTTTCACATGCAGGTAGGAGCCCTGCTGCAGCACAGAGACCTGGGATCCACACCGCCTGGACACACTGGTGCAGTAAGGTAAGCAGTAGGCAGAGCAGAGTGCGGCAGCTGTGGAAAAGCAACTGCTGTGCATGGGGAAGCTGAGAGGATGAGACTTATCCTGACACGGTCAGGGTAGTCCTTTTGCATCTACTGTTTCCAAGGACCTTTAGTTCAAAATAATCCTCATGCCCAAAGGCCAGATTTCAGGGTGACCTTTTGGATGTATGTTTTATTTTCTTATTTCGTGTTTGGTTTCAGAGGAAAAAATATTTTGGAGGATGAAATGGGTGCAGAAGCCTCAAGGATCCAATACTTACATTGTAGTTTGGAAGGGAGGGCCCTGTTCTGTTTTCTTTTCCTGAGGTCTTTGGAGACTCGATGACTTTTGGGTCCGAGCCACTCGCCAACACGGGGAATGGGGTGGCCGTACCACCTCTTGGGCAATCACAGTTTGTCCACACTCTGAAGAGCCTTGGTCCACCTGGCAGCCTGTGGTTTCCTGCAGAGAAGCAGGCACAGCTTAGTGCCACACAAAGGGCCAGCAGAGGGCTGTGTGGTGGACAAGCCAGGATGGCTTCCAAAGCAGCTTTCAGCAGGTTAATGTTAGGCATTTTGGTAAAATTATTTTTTCCTCTTACATTAAAAAAAAAAATCTCACTTCACAGTATTCTTATTTTTTGTTATTGACTTGCTCATAGAACACACTGTCCATATTTATAGGAAAATATTTTAAAAAATAAGTGAGTTTATAGAATTTGTTTTATCATTATGACATTTTATTGATCTAGATATATTTTTAGAATTACTGCTTAAGATTTCAGCACCTACAAATGAAGCAAGGTAAAGGAAAGTTTACAGTTTATTGATGCAAAAGGAATTCATTATTCATGAACATCTGTCCTTCTTCAAGCTGCAGCATTTAATGCCTGTATCTTTAGGTGAGTCTTGTAAAGTGGTAAATGGTATGCGATGAAAAGAATCCAGAAATGGAAGCACAGTGTTATTAGGCCAGTGTGTTCCCCAGAATTCCTACGTGGAGCACTGAAACCCACCACCTGTGTGACGGCGCCTTTCACAGGCAGTTAGGACAGGATGTGGCTGTCAGAGTGAAGTTGGGTCCCATGTATTTGGTGTAAGAAGAGACGAGAGTACTCAGAGCAACTTTGGGGTGGACGCAGGGAGAAGGTGCTGTCTACAAGCCAATGACAGAGCCCCTGAAGCGCCGCCTGCTGGCACGGTGGTGTTGGTCCCCTGTTCTCCAGAGCGGAGAAACGAGTCCTGGGAAGTCTGCCCTGCAGACTTGCAGAGCCTGGGAAGAACCCTTTATGCTCTCCCACTGAAGGTGGGAATGATCTCTTTTCAGAAACCGAGAACTGAGTCTTAAAGAGGTTAAAGAATTTATATGTGGAAGAACTGGGTACTTATAACATCTGTAACATATTACAAGTTTATTAAAATGAACCTCGCTGAATTATTCCTGTTTGCCAGGCACTGTGTGCTAAATGCCTTACACGGATTAGTGTTTTCATCTTCGCCGATGCTGTGTGATGATGGATGTGCGATCATCCTTCACCTGGTGACAGAAAAGGTTCACAGATTTGAATCAATTCCCCAAGGTCACACAGGAGCCAAGGGATGGAGCTGGCAGCGAAGCCCAGATAATCGGACTCTAGAGAATCCTGTGTTATCCATCATCTAAACTACTTTCTACTTGATCGCATCAGTGGGAGGGATGATTGATGAGTTGTAGCTCAAGGCAGAATTACATGGAGCACCTATATTAGAGCAGAAATGTAAATTCAGTGATGTATTAATCAGGGAATGGATCTTGAAGGAATTTTTAAAAGGCAAGGATGAGATGATATTTCTTATAAAACTGGCATATGCTTGGAAATATTTATTTTCAGAGCACATAAACTAGTTTTGTAATCAGTTAACTCATCAAAGGATCAACAAAAGAGAAGCCAGTAGTCCCTGAAACAGCACCATATTAACTGAATGGCAAGGTAGAGTTCTCTTTTTTCATAGGTTCATGCTAGAATCAGGGTGATGGTAACAAGGAGCCGACATCCTCCAACTCCCAAAGGTGACCAAACTATGCTACAAAACATATTCACTTGAGTACGAACCCAGAGAGACCCTAAAGTAAAATTAAACTTCATAGAATGGGCTTTGATATAATGTCCTTTCCTTCTCATACTCTAACCTCTCCAAAGAGGGCCCGATAGGCATGTGACACGTAACCATGGAGATGAGGAGGGAGTTGTTCCTGGTGATGATGGTGCGTGATACCTCTGGGTGCACCTCGTTTTCCTGCCCACAGGCCAGTTGTCCCTCTGTCACAGCCCACTTGAGTCACTGCCCAGGGGTAAAGGGATGAATGGGAATCACAGCACGTGCATGAATGAGAGCCCTGAAGAACTCAGAAGCAGGACTGACTGTTGGGCTTCCTGGATTCCAGGAAGACGTATGACTCTGTGAGCTATAAAGCCCTTTCTTGGTTAATTTTAGTATTCTCCCACTTGCCATTCATAAATGATGTATGTAACATGCCCGATGGATTTGCACTAAAATTGTTTCTAGTTTGAGAAACTTCGTGTTAGTCTTTGTTATTAAAGCCCCGAAAGCTCACAATTGAGGCTGGTTGGAGTAGCGTTTAGCCTAAATTATGTGACACAGATTTTAAGGCATTAAAAGGACGGGGATTGGAAACAGTGAAGTATTTTAAAAGTGGAGCTCTCTTTCTGATTAGTGAAAGGCCAATAGATTCTGCTTCTGACCCTCTGAAATGTATCCCTAGCAGTCAGGGGTAAGCATCCTGACTCAGCCCTTCTGAGTATTAAAATGAGAAACACTCAAGCTGACCTGTGTCGAGGTCAAGAGGAGAGATCTCTATGAGGTCTACATTGAATGTGTGAGTGAGACTCATGGTTCTTCCTGGACTCCCGTCTCAGGGCAGAGTTTTCAGGACGTCCTAACAGACCCGTTCTCACCCCTCCGAGACTGCACCACCTTCCAAGTCTAACTGTCCTGTCCTTGTCTCTTGTGCAGTGCGGTGTCTCCCTGCAGAGTCCAGAGTGATGCTCTGAAGGGCCACGCAGGCCGGATAATCTTCCCAGGGCTGCTTCTGGCCTCCCTAGAACAGTGGTCACCAGTGGTGCCCTGTGCTCGCCATCAGAGCCGAAGGTCACAGTTTTCCTTGATAATTAGAACTGCTTTTTCCAGACTCAGAGTTTGGTTCCTTCCACCTCAGTGGTTTAGAGTGCTTCCTTGTATGTTTTGTGGCTGGAATGGATTCTTTCTGTCACATCTATAAATGGTCTCCGGAATGTCAATGCGAGTAGAGTGGAGAGAAGCTAGCAGACAGTGTAACTCCAAGCTCTGAGTGAGTGGCTGCGTCCTGCAGGTGAGCGAGGCTGGCTGAGTGGCCTGGTCAGCAAGGCTTCCATGGCACCTTCTGGGCCTGCGCTGCTGGCCTCAGCAATGCCCCCAGGGAGGCTGAGGCAGGAGCAGGACCTGGTTTTGAAATGAGCTGCTGTGATCTTTCAGAAGACATTTGTGTCTTCCTAGAAACCTGGCACAGGGCTTATGACAAGGAGAAAACAATCACAAACCTTTGTCCTGGGACCCTGTCCTGCCACCACTGGGGCCTGGCTGCCAACTGGCCACGTCCTGGTGCCATCCTGAGTACGTGCCTTGGCTTAGCAGGTGAGATGTGTAGTTTCAGTGGAGCCTGGCCCATTGATACGAACTTATCTTGCTCACTGGAAAAGAGGATTCTAAGGAGATGCCACTTCTCTCTGGGTGGTGAGATCACCTTGGCCCTATATGCGGGCCTGTCCTCCGCTCCACCCGTGGCTCCATTTTTTGTCTTACTTTTTATCTCCTTGCTCCTTTATCCCGAGACAATCAGGTGATTAAAGGGGTCACCTCTGTTACCATGGAGACAGGGCTCCTGCTCCTGTGGGGGTTGATTTTCCCTCTGTATCCAGCTGTGATTCCAGCGTGGTGACGAATTTAACCAAGTGGAAACATGAGCCTTGAAATCGCTCCTCATAGTTCTCCTCCGTAGGAGAGAGGAAACCCATGGAGCAGTTTCATAATTCTGAGATGTGGCGCTGAGGAAATGTGGGATTGGGTGCTGATGCATCCTGTCGCCCTGGGGGCTCGGTCCTGATTTGCAGCTGTTTTGTTACCAGCCTTTATAGTGTCTTGTAGGCAGGAGGGGAAAACATGGTGCTCTTGTTCTGAGGGAAGGAAATGATCTGTTGGTTCCTATGAAGTAGGTGATAAGATTCTCCTGGGCCCTTTGAGTCCTCACTGGGTGCAGGGCTTTTGCTGGGCGTGGTGACACACACCTTTTATCCCAGCACCCAGGAGGCTGAGGCAGGAGGGCCACTACAAGTTCAAGGCCAGCCTGAACTTCATATTGAGATCCTGTCTCACAATAAAGAAGAAGAAACTAAATAAAAGGCTTTCCATGCCCTGTTAGGGTGCTTGCACCCTGATGCCTGCAGCATCATAAGGTCGGCCTCACTAGGGAGCCAGGCGTCTGTCTGTGCTTCTCTGGTCTTCAGCGAGGGTTCCGGAGTGCAGGAGGAACCAGAATAACCCCCAGCTCCGCCTGCTTCTCCTTGCCTGTCTGCAGGGCTGATTTCCAGGCAGTTTAGCCAGAGTCTAGACCACAGGGCAGCACCCCTGACCGGTACTCACTATGCAGGCAGTGTTTAGTTATTTTTCAGGAGTTTAGAAGCCCTTTCCAGGGCCAGGGGTTGACACCACCGACCCCTGCACTCGGGGTGGGCCGTTGTCTCACGCACGCTTTGAGGTCAGAGGCCATGCGCGTCCTGGGCAGAGCGCAGTTTGACCGCATCTTCAAAGGTTCTTACAGCCTCTGCTTCTTTATCCTTCACAGCCCAGGAGCTCTGTGCTGGGGTGGCAGATGTGAGACTCGCCGTCCTGCCTCGGCCCCTGCGGCTACCACGTGAATGCACATTTTCTTTTTGCGAGCAGGTAATCCTTTTGCAAGCTTAGCATGCAGCGTGGAGGGGAGAGGGGCCCGACTGGTTCAGCAGCATGGGTAGCTCCTCGTGCAGGTGCGAGCAGGGGGAGTGTGTGGAGGGGCAAGGACCAGAGCAAGCGGAGGCCCTGTGCGGAGCTGCCCCTCCCACCGAGGGCTGGGTGTGGACGCGCTGGCGTGCTTCGCCGAGGTCCTGCTGGAACTCGGGTCTCCCCCAGAGGAACCTCCCCGGGACCTGGGGGACACCGTGAGGGCCTTTTTCTCTTTCCTGTCTCCCCTCCACGCTTGTTTGTTCCAGCTTTCTGGGATCTGCTGTCAAATGCAATGCCTGCACCCGAATGTTTGTCCCAGGTGCGGATTCTGGAGGAATCCAAAAGAGAACCAGAGTAATTTATCAAGATTGAAGAGCTGCGACCATTTTGCCGGACCGAGAGCACAACCGCCGGGCTGTGGCCGAGTCCACGTGGTGGAGACACTCGTGTGTGTGTGTCTGTGTGTGTGTGTGCACACACGTGCGTGTCCTGGCTCTGTCACTCACCCTCCTCACAACACTGCCTTTCCACCAACTAAGCGGAGCGTGGGCTACCCAGGTAGAAAAGTTGGAAAAGGGCGCCACCTCGCAGGCCTGCTGAGAGCGCATGCGGGTCCTGGCCTGGCGATCTTGGCTGGCTGAGCTCCTTGCTCACCCTCTGGGCTCCCATAGGACCGGGGGATGGACAAGGCTTAGCTGGGGAGGAGGAGAGTGCGAGGTGGGCCTGAAGATGTGTGGATGACACCAGGGACTAAAAGCGCTCTCTTTCTCATCTGGGAGAACTCGAAATAAAATTTCATGCAAAAGTGGCAGAAGATTCATGGGACAATGGTTTCCTTGATATTCTCCTAAGGAGTTTTATCTTTCTTTCTCGCTCTCTCTCTCGCTCTCTCTCTCTCTCTCCCTCCCTCCCTTCCTCTCAATGTAAATAACCATGAAGTCTCCTGTAACAGAGAAGTCTGGGGCTTCCAAGAAGCCAAAAACTTGTTTCAAGGAAACTTCCACTTATTAAAATGCTTCTGCTTTATTGACTTTTGTGTCTCTTGCTATTAAAGAGATGTGACATCAGTGGGAACAGCAAGTTGGGCAGTGCAGAATGGATGGAGAATTGCCTTGGAAACGGGGTCCAACCAATCAGGGAGGAGACAGCATCATCCAGGAAGTCTCCCAATTGCTCCCGTGGCCATTTGGCTATAAGCGAACCCCATAACCATCCCTGTGCTCTGTACCCACTGCACAGCCCTAAATCTTGGTGAGAGTGAAGAAACTATTCTGAACTCCCAGCTCTGGGCCCTGAAGATAAATGGGACCACCTCAGCCGCGATTCCTTCCTCTGCTTCTGCAGACAGCAAGAAGGAACCCTGAAACAGCAGTCATGTTGAGCCTATGTATCTCTCCTCTGCATTTTTGCAGCACTTTCTGTTCATGGCCCAATTTTTTTAAAAATTGAGTTTATTGGTCCATTTTAGGTATACAGTACAGTTACAGTCATCATCGGGATCTTTACCTTTACATGGTGGTTCTTATTTTTCCCCACTCCCCTGCTCTCTCTTCACCCCTCCACCCTTCCCTATTGACAAAGACTTTGTTTCCATTTCTTTCTTTTCTCATATTTTTTCTTTCTTTTCTTTCCCATACCATTCCCAATTCCCCTACTCCTTTAGCCCTCTTCTTCCTATTTTACATTATCAATTTGAACCTTATTTACACTTTTAGTTTTTCATACTATTTGGTATTTACATATGTGTGCCCTATTTATTTCACTTGGGTATGGCCTCAATGTGCATCCATTTTCCTGTAAATGACTCTAGTTTCTCATTCTTTATGGCTGAGTAGTACTCCATTTTATAGAAAAACCACATCTTCTCTATCCAGTCTCCAACTGATGGGCAATTGGGCTGTCTCCAAGTTTTAGCTATTACAAACTGTGCCACTATAAATATGGGTGCACATGTATCACTGTGGTATGATTATTTTAATTCTTTTGGAAAGATACCCAGCAGAGGGATGGTTGGGTCAAAGGGAACCTCTAATCCTAGTTGTTTGAGGTATCTCCATATTGATTTCCATAGTGGTTGCCCAGTCTACACTCCCACCAACAATGGAGATGGGTTCCTTTCTCCCCTCAACCCTGCCTATATTTGTTATTAGTTGATTTCTTGATTGCTCAAGGCCTTTTGACTCTGTGAAGCACCAGCCTTGGCCCCATCCTCAGTGTCCCAGATGAGCACTGAGCTACAGGATCTGCTCAAGACCACTCAAATGAGTGATCTCAGAGGGACTGGATTCCCTGGGAGGCCTTTCCCTTTCTGCTCAGGAGCAGTCCAGCGGGACCTTGGAGGACAAAGGAATTTGGCCTCTGTTTCTCTAGAATCTGAAACATATCCTGAAAGTGTAGTGGGAGCCCAAGTGTTGAGGGGCGACATGTGGGCCCTCTCCTCTCCGTCCCATCCTCCATTTCTGTCCTCACTGAGACCCCAGGTTCTCCTTTCTGCAGCAGTCCCTCCATGAAACCTCTCTGAATGCCTCCGGACCCATGCACAGATCATACCTATCTTTCCCGAATTCCCACAGCATTTAATTCTCAGAGCAATGCACCTGGTGCGTGGCTACTTTTTGCCTCATCACCAGATTATACCTTCTTGGAGGCAGAAGTCATAAACCGATGCTCCCATTTCTCCATGTCAGAAGCAAACTGTGTAGTGATATCCATTGATACAGGAGGATTTGCAGCACCTCCTATACCACAGCTGGGTAGTGGTTGGCTTGCTTTTGGTGTATGAAGATGCGTAATATTCAGGTTTATGTGATCATATCCTTTTGTGATCCATCTAAGGTAGTAGAAGCAAGTTGCCAAATTGTGGGCTATATCAGAGCCTCCTTTTAATTGCTAGCAGCCTGCTGGTTTCTCTGTGCTAGTGCAGTAAATTCAGAAACCCGTGTTGACTGCTAGAATCTTAAGCTACTTTACTGACCCCAGTATAAGTGTGAGCTATGTATCGTTGCAAGCTTAATTCAGAGGAGTTTACAACAAACCAACCAAAAGCTCCTCATACACAGGGAGCTCCTGTCACATTGCCACCTCCTTCCCATCCTGCCTGGCTGAACCTGTCTCCCTGTGAAGAGTGCTATGCTGAACATGAGCTCACACTTGGGGGAAAGGGTCCCTGTTGTCATCTGAAGCCCCAAGACTTCTCCATCCAGTGGCCCAGAGGTGGAAGGTGCAGGAGAAACCTCCACTGCTCTCCGTGGCCACACCTGTTTCCCACCCCTTCACACTCGGTAGCTTCTCCAACCTGGAACATCTGGGCTGCACCCAGGAAGAAAAATGTGTGTGACAGCTCCTCTACTCCATTAGCACAGTAACGTCCACTCGACAACAGAAGTTCAGATTTGCAGTTACCTGGAGAAACCCCGAGGAAAGGTGAGCTGCTAACTTACAAACGCTTCCTTCCTTCTCACTGAGAAAATTGTCTTTTGGATTACCAACCATTGATGTGGGTGCTGGCCTCGAGTTCTTTTCAGGGATTGAAATGTCCTTAGAGAACAGATGAACTGTCCCAAAGGCTATGCCTGAAGATGAGCAGAAGGGGTTGGGACCCTGCTTGGGCTGCTCTCACCGGGGTCTTCAGACTCATGTGCCCCTCCTTGTTAAGGTCTCACACAGGAGCTTCCTCCCTTGCTGGGGGTGTCAGTCGGCTCCCCTCACTGTGGCAGAGGCCGGGGAGAATCTCTTAGGGAGGAAGAGGGTCACCTGGATTGGAGCTTCCGAGGTCTTAGCCTGGCCCTGTTGTGTGGGGTGTGGCGGGTACAGCCTCAAGATAGAAGTGTGCAGTGAGGAACCTTGTTCATCTTACAAGGCTGAGAAGCAGAAAGATACACGGACCAGGGCCAGGACCCAGTGTCCCTTCAAGGGCAGTGTCCTCAGTGACCATATGGCCTTTCACTGGGCCTCACCCCTGCAAGGTACCCCCAGTTTCCAACAGTGCCACTGGCTGAAGACCAGGCCTACAGCACAGGGCCTTTAGCGTCACTGCAGGTCCAGGCCAAGCAGACACCAGGCCTCCAGCAGGCATGGGGGGCTGGCGTCCTACATCAGTTTTCCGGGTATGGACAGCTTCAAGTGGCTTATTGAAAATTACATACCTTAAATGCAAGTTCTTATGAGAGAGTGCATAGACAGTTATTTTTTTTTAACAGTTCAGAGAAAGAGAAAGGATTTTATGGATTCCATGGATGCACCAGTTACTTTGTTCTTAGTTTTGCTGCATATGAATGTAAATTCATCTGAATTTTCTATATTTTAGCATGCTCACTTTAAAGTATATGGAATATTTTAAATATTGATAATACCTAGACCCAGAAAAATGTAATAAATAGTAATAAAGTGCCTCTGTTTTGGCTATAGAGTAATAATAATTTTTAAGAAAACAATTATACCCTTTTTAATGAAGGTAAGGAGCTTATGAAAATGTGCTTCTTATATTGAGCGTTTCAAATTTAATATGAAATTTGTTTTTGCCTCCAAGATGTAATGGTTTTGAATAAAAATCTGAATAATTACAAAGTCATTTATATGCCAGTAAAATCAAAGGTAAATGTTCCAAGGAAACAAAAATCAAGAGAAGATTACTGTACTCTATGTATTTATTCATGCAGATGATGTTCTTGGCTTCTCTTTTATACCTGTTGGACCTCAGTAAATTGTTTTATTTTGTCTTAATTTTTCAATCAGGATGCTAACTACCCACGACATGAAGAAAACAAGATGATCTGTCTCCAAAACCTAAATCTTTCTTTTTAGGATAAAAAAATTCAGAAAATGATGTACTGAGAAAGAAGTACTTCCAAGAAGATGAAACAAACTCCAATTCCTCATGAGGGCAACAAGAAAAACAAAAAAGGATCAAAAGCAACCTTGTCGGGATCCTGAACATTCACTGATGGGTTGCAGCTGTCAGAGGAGCTGCTACCCATGAATCTGTCCCCTGAGCCTGGAGAGGGCAGTGGCTGCTGGGTTCTTAGCTCTCCCTGCCCACATGTCCTTGCACAGCTCCTTGGCCTTGAGGTCGCTGGCACTGGGCAGCTCCAGGGAGTGTCACTGTTTGCTCCCTGCCCACCAGCCCAGGGCTCCCTCTGCTCTCCCCACCTCCTCTTTCCCAAGGCCCAGGTTCTGCCTGTGGCTCAGTGCCATGGTGCAGGGCAGAATCTCAGTCCTGAGCAGCAGGGCCTGCATGGGAGGGAGGAATCTCCCTCATCTCCAGATGGGGTGGGGCTGCGTTTCCATGCCCTCCAGAGGAAGACACTGCCACTGTGTGGCAGCCCTTCCCTCAGAGGGAAGAGGACATTTTTCATTCTGAAAAAAATCACATCACTGAAAATGACTCTGCTAGATGGACAGATACATCAACCAAAGGGATCATGTAAAATAAGCCAGCACAGTCTTCTCAGAGCCATGGCCTGGAAGTTGGGCCCTCAGCGGGGCTGCCAACAGGATCTCCCCTTCCTCTGCTGTGCAGCGGAGCTCAGGATGGCCTGGTGGCTCACGTGGGGCAGGTGGCATAGTTGGCAGGGATGAAGCCTGTGGAGGAGGACAGGGTCCCTTCTGCTTGTGCTCCTTCCCCTTGCTCTCGCTTCTTCCTGCCTCCTTGGCTGGACGTCGGCCTCCATCTGACTCAGGAGGGAAAGGCAGTGGTGGCAGGGGCCTGGGCCCTCTGGAACCAACACCAGCAGCAGTTCCAGGCATCACCCTGTTTGTGAGAAGTAAACAAACTAATTTGTTTCAGCTGCTACTTCACTGGATTTTCTGTTGCAGCATAAGTAATTCCTAACTGCAAATAGGAAATTGAACACAGGAGGCAGAAAAAGTCTGTATAGAGAGAATCCTTAAAAAAGTAAAACTAGAAATTCCATTTGATGTAGCTATTCCCCTTCTAGGTATCTTTCCAA